CCCCAAAACCCCAAAACCCCAAAACCCCAAAACCCCAAAACCCCTAATTTTTTAAATTTTATTTAAAAATAGTTTTGAAAATGAGTAGTAAAAGAGATAGACATCGAAAATTTACTGCACAGTTTACAGAACAAGATGCCAACGTAAGGGTTTCATGCCTTTCTATGACAGACCTTTGGGTTTTAGAAAATAGAATGAGGATTAACCCTTTACATATATAGGTAGCAGCCAAAGTTCAGGAGGGCATGGATAAGAAAGGAGAGAGAAAGGATGGTGGAGGAGAAAGACCAGCAGGGGTGAAGGAAGAGAGGAGGGAAGATAAGCGGAATTGGGGGTTGAAGGAAGAGAAGAAGGGAAGTGGAGAAGGAGATAACGTCTTCTTCAATACCTCGTCCAGGAAATATTCAGAATTTGATCGTAAGGAAGATGGGGAATTGAAGTTAAAAGGTGCGGATCTACTTCAGAGACAGAGTGAACGTCCGAAACTTAAGAAGAAAATGTCTGCAGACCCTTCAGGGAAGAGAAGAGGATCTATGAGGAAGAATGTATTTGACGGTTCTCTCTTTACAGATAATTTAGCACTAGGAGATTCTTTATTTATGCCAAATAAGTTAAACAGGAATAAAAGTAGCATGCCAAGGAATGAAATGCAATTTGATGTTTCCTCTTCAGAGATTTCAGATCCTGAGATTAAGCAGCTAAAGAGAAGAGCTGTTATATGTTGTAAGTATACAACAGAGTGAATGCTGATAATTGGCATCCTCGGAGCCTCGGCCATAGATTTCAATGTACTCTCCCTTATGTATTTCTTAGGAGGACTTCTTATGCTTTTAGAGAGAATAAATTTATCAATAAAAAGCAAGAATGAAGGACAAGAAGCCATTACAAATGCCTTTTTGATTTCTGTACCAGTGCTCCTAATGTATAAAATGATCTCTTGATTGTTCATCTATGTTGATTTCACTAAGTACCAGATTATATATGACACTAAGCACTTTCTTGAGAAGAATGTCCTGTTTCTAAATTTCCATAGTGTATCCATTTATTCTGGAGTAGTTTTTATTAAAGAGAATACGTTCATTAATCTAATAATCACCATAATCCCAGAGGTATTTATTGGTATCTTTCTAATTGCTTTGAATTTTGTCTCTAGTGAAACTTTGGAGCCACAGTACTTAAACAGACATGATTTTATTGAAGAGAAAAGACTAGCTTTGGGATCAACTAGTTTTTCCATTTTGTTCATATTGAGCATTGAATACCTCTCTGTGGTGAATATTTCATATATTGGAGTCTTCTTCCAATTTGTAGTCTTGTACGCTGTATGAATATTTGCGTTTAAATAAGGATAATAGGCTGCGCTACATTGACTTTGTGTGTGCATTCTCGATGTTCTTGTGAGCATTCCAGCTGATACTGCTATTTTTGAATAAAATAGAACTCATCCCAAAGAAAGAGGTTGAATTCATCTACTTTTTCATTGGTGCCCACCAAGATAAGTCAAAAATCAATACTTTTATGCATGCAACAGGTGCTCTTTGTGTGATTGTGTTTGGGATAATTTATCTCAGAGCGAGGAGGATAGACTATATGAAGGAGATTTCTCAGCCACCAGATTCACCAGTAATGCCTTCTGAAGGGATCCCCTATAATTTAAAAATAAATGAGAGGAACAATTCTCCTTTCCTACCTGAGAAGGATGAATATCTTGATGAAACTGAGGACGAAAAAGAACAGCTTTTTGTCTGGAGAATCTACGATAAGATTATCAACGCTTTCACATCTGAATTTGTCGTTCTCAATTTATGAAGGCTTGGCTTATGTTTTTGGATTCTCCGCTACAACTGCATCGAGTCAATTTTTGTTGTGATTTTCCTGTTCCACTCAACTCTTGTGAAGAGTATGATTGTCTTCCTTCCTTTTGTTAAATACATATACATGCCATACATGTGAGTGAATGTTATAGTCTTCTATATCATAAATATCCTGTATTCGAAGCAAGGCCATTACAACACTAATATTCATAATGTAAAATATGGTATTATTGTATTTGAAACCCCAATAATAGAGTTCCCTCTGATGTTGTTTGTCCTCCTTCTGGTGGCTCTACTAATCAAGAAAATGTCTAGTATTAGTGAGGTTCTTTCAGTAGAGGATGAACGCATGCTGATCCAGAAGAAGAAAGCTAAAACTCTCAAAGATATGCAGAACAGGAATACTATTCTATCAGCAATTTACTACCTGTTTTACTTGAGTATTGAAGTTCTGCTGCTGTTTATCCTACTCATTAACGTTGTTTCAAAAGTCAACTTGTCAAACTTCTGATTGAATCTGTATTTGGTGATGTATCTAATTTATCCTTCATTAGCGAGGAAACATATCAGGAAATTCTTATTTGTTGTCGAGGGGTTTAACTTGGTCAATTATGTCTATGCCATCTTCATAGCTTCGTCTGATGGAAGCTTCTTTGTTGGAGAGGTAGGAAATTTTATCGGAATTGATAGTTATGATGTATACACGAGAAAGTATTTCAATACTATTCCAACCTTGAGGATTGTAGCTCTCATTATTGTAGCCATGACTGTTTGGAACACCCTCCCAACTGATGTTAATGAAGATATTGGAGAGCAAAGTGATTTTGAAGGAAAGCTTTACAAAACTTTGTATAGCTACAGCAGATGATTTACGGAATCCATCTATCTGTTTATCAGTGTTATAAAAAAACTGACTATATGGATCTGATATGCTCTAATTTTTTTTATACTAATTGTTAATGATTTATCGATTAAGAACTGGGTGGCTGCCATACTGATAGCATTTATAATCTATAAACATCTAAGTTCAAGAGTATATTATCTGAACTATTTTGCAACCTATGCAGGCTTCATGTTTATCACCACCTGGATGTTCCAGTTCTTGAAATTTGATATTATTACAGATATTTTCGAGCTTGAAGATATTAACCATTTACCCTTTCATGGTGAAATCTGGGGCTATACTGTTTTAAGTGAGAAACAATTATTTTTCAGAGTTGTAGCTTTATCAGGAATGCTTGTTCTCTCTGTCATTGGATACAGGGCAATAATTGCTCAAAACCAACAAATACCTTTATTTTTAAATCTAGATGACACTGAAAGTATCAAGGAAATGGATGAGAGTGTTTTATACAAAACTGTTTTGGAGAAAAGAGAGAAAATATTTTGGAGCACAACATCTATATTCTTGCCAATAATTAACTTCATAGCTGCATTTTTCCATATTCCAGTGATACTTGTCATAATGTGGCAAGCACTCTATTGGAGACTAAGCTGGATGATGATATTGTTAATCTTCTTTGCTATTGGGCCTTGGTACACCCTTGATATAGATCTCCTCCAAACTAAAAATAAAGGGAAAGATCGCTCTCTGCTCTACTATAGCAACATTTTAGTGAGAGAGCAAAGACATAAAAAGTGGAGGGCACTAATCTTGCTATGCTTGTTATCATGGATAATTATTTTCCCTAGCAACAAACTTATGCAACTGTTGAACATCAAACATCGGACACAAGCAATCTTCTATGGAGAATGGTCTGGCTTGCTCTACCCAGGGACTAATGAAAATTTTATATTTTCAAACTATGTATCTGGCTACATGATAATCCTCTGAGTTCTGGTCATTGAGAAGAAATTTCTTGAGTGGCTTGAAAATGAAAATTCTAGAGCTGAAAATTCAGGTAATGACCAATCAGCCAACGATACTGAGAGCCATGCCATGTATAAAGTTCTTAAGAAAGAAATTGATAGAAGAGAGAAGCAACAAAAATTAAAGGAAAAAGGCAAGAAGAAAAGCACAGTAGCTGCTTCCGAAGGGATTGATGATGACACAAAAACTGAGGTCAAACAGCAGCTCAAAAAAGTTATCGATGGAGAACAAACAACTATAAAAAGGAAGAAGAGTGATACTAAAAGTCCTAAGAAGTCAATCCTTAGCTCTATTTTGAAAAAGAGTTCTCTGAAAACCCCTGAATATCCTGAACCCAAAGAGGAGACTAAGATAGAAACTTTATCACCTGGTCATCGATCATTGGATGAATCTGATGATCAACTTGAAAAAGAGAGGGAAGCAGATGATAGTGAGTTTAATCTCTTCTTCACAGAGAATAATCCTCACAGAATGGAAAACAAAAGATTGCTATTGTTCCAATATAAAATCAAATTTATGAGAGGAGCTAAGATTTTTATTGAAGAATCTATGACCTTTGCACTGATGATCTGAGCTCTTTATAAAGACAACATACTCAGCTTGATGTATTACTGGATGGCTATAAAAATGATTTTGGAGAAAGTTGATATGCACTACAGAATGAAAGCTATCACTTATGTAAGCATATTCACTTTGGTGCAGTACTTTTTATGTCTTACAAATTGGAACAAGAATAATAGTCCGCAACCATTACCAATACCATTTAACCCGGATATTAGAGGAGAGCATGAATATAAAGATTACATCTCCCCTCCATTAGACCTCCCCTGGGTTGATCAAATGGGTATAACTGACATCTGGAAGAAATATCTCATGATAGATAAAAATTCAGACATTTTGCATTCTCTGATGATTGAGACGATTTTACTGTGTATTGGAGCTATTTATTTCTACACATTCAGTCCTTATCTCTACAACATCAAGAAGAAAGAATTTAAGAATATTCTCAAACTCAAGGCAGATGTAGGAAAGGATAGAGTATTCTTGGACTATGTCCAAAGCTCAAGTATATTCGCTACTGTTTACAAAGGAATGAAATCAACTCTATATAACACATGACATATCTTCTTAATTTTGATCCTACTGATCCTCACCAGTCAAAATTCAGGAGTTCTCGCTATTGGCTACTTGATATTTGCCCTATTCTATTTATACAAATCTCTAGATCTCCTGATGGATAAGTATTGGGATTACCCAGCAGGAATTCAAAAATTTAAGTACTTCATAATATCTGACTGAACATTATGAATCTTTTATCAGCTCCCTTTCTTCTACCTACATTACAGAGAGAACTACTTCAATTCCTTGCAGGCATTCATCGGTCTTGAGAGTTTCTGGATTGAGTATAGCCAGTCATGGAACACCAGAGCTTTAGTTTGAATGCTATTGAAATTTCTAGCGCTGTGATTTATACATCTGCAAGGAAAACTATTCAGCACTAATGATTATTCAGTCCATAGACAAACTCTTTCAAAAAAGTCTTTTACTAGGAACAAAGCTAGATGAATGGCATATCTGCATAATAACAAAAAGATCAAGAAGGAGAGAGAGATTCAAATCATTAAGAGAAGCATGAAGCTAAAGCTCGAACTTGTCCAAGAACAGCTCAGAGGCACTAAATTCGGTCAAATTGCAGAAGGAGGTTTTGGATTTGGAGAAACTGCTCCTCCTGTTCATACTAAACAAGGTCCCAACCTTTTAGTTAATGATTCAAGTGATAGTGACAATGGGATGATGGGAGTTCCTCAGTTGAGAAATGCAGTCTCCTCTTATGACCCAGAACTAATGCAGAAGGAAGAAAAGAAACTTAAAAGGAAACTTCAAGAATTGGAGAAAAATGAACAAGGACTGGAGTTGTTCCAAGAGTTTACAGAGGCAGAGCAGAAAGAACTTTCAAAATTTGATATCCTGACAAAGATTTTCCTATTTCTTCGAAGAAACATCACGAATCCAATAATCTCATGAGATGAAGTTGATATACAATATGCAGTCAAAGATTTTCAGGCAGGAGCTCTCCATTGTCAAAACAGAATCGAAAGGATAGGGAAGAAACTTGTCAAGAGTGCTAGAGAAAAGAAAGTCTTAAAAGGTCTCACAGAGAGGAAGACGATGATATTTAATATTTTCTCGACCTTCATTTATTTCTTGGCTTCAAATACAGCGGCTATTTCATATATGTTTATGTTTCTAAACTGAATGTGCACAGGAAATCTAATATCTTTATTCTATCCATTATCTGTCTTGCTGTATGCATTGATTGAAGATCCGAGGCCCCGAAGCAAATACTGGAGCATATAATTTTGATATATGCTGAAATTGTGATCTTGTTCAAATTCCTGATCCAACAAAATGCGCTGACAGTCCTCACTCCAGGAACTCTATTCGTGGAGATTATTGACAAATTCAAAATAGGTTTCAGAGTTTTTGACAAGAAAGAATACGCCAAAGGAATTTTTGGTTTTATAATCTGGGATATCCTTGTTGCTCTCTCTGTTGTACTACACCAACACTTCCTCGTCTTAATTGGCCTTTGGAAAAAGAGAGAATGCGATTTTGAGAGTGTTAGCGAAGGAAGAAAAAGATTACTTTTTCAAGAGAGGAGAGCTAAATACGAGAAAAATTTGAAAAATACGACTAAAGTTCCTTCAACTATTGTGGAAGATGATAAGGAAGATGATAAGGAAGATGATAAGGAAGAAGTTAAGGAAGAAGTTAAGGAAGAAAATAATATAAAACCTAAGAAAATTAGATTCGCAAACATCTCCTCTTCTGATGATGGTCCTAGCTCAGAGATTAGTCCAAAAGCTAGGAAGAAGCTTAGAGAATTCGGCAAAGAGGTATCAATGACTACACCCAAGATTAAAGCTATTAAAGATTCTGATGTGAAGGTAATGAAACCTCTTAGGTACACATCTAGCAAGAACTTCTCATATAGTAAACTTTCTGATGACACTTCCGAAATAGAAGAATATAAAGAGCACTTATCACCTAACTATTTTATTCATGAATGAGATTCAGATAACGATGCAGGTAGTATCAAAAGTTGAAATGCGAGAATGCAATACCCAACTAATGACAAGTATTCAGATATTGAACTTGACCCAAAGAACAACAGTGAGGAAGATCTGAAGTATTACCGTGAGATTGATGATGAAGGAATTCATGGCATTCAAAATGCCCTTACTATCGATCACATCGAGGAAAATCCAGAAATATACAAACAAAAGAGGAAAAAGGGCCTACAATCTTTGATTCTTGATAATGACTTTATAAGAAGGGTTTTCCCTGCTTCTAAAAATGAGAAGCCCGGCTATGATTTGTATAACTTCGGAGTAATCTTCCAATTCCTTGTTGTTATCTACATCCTTTTCTTCTTCTCACAAATGACTGGAGAGGATGAGGAGTTATCAGAGACCTTTAAGTTCAAGAGATTTAGGACTGAAATGATCTTCTTCATGTTTATTCAAATAATGCTGATCTTACTTGACAGGTTCTTCTACATTAGTAATACTTTTGATCAGATCGAGTCTGATAGCGATGAGTCAGGTTCTGAAGAAATAAATGTTCTGAACAGTGAGAATAGGCATAACTTACTCAAACTACTCATTTACTATGTCTTGGTCGTCTTTGTGCATGCTACTGTAGTCTGGTACTTTCCTCTAACAGGAAATTATAAAATCAGTGAGCAGATTTATTGAGACTCAAACGGTCCTTGTAATGACCTACAAAACAACATATTCTTGTGGGGTTTCTACATTCTTTATCTTGGATATTTCTGTATGACAGCATTTCAGTTCAGATATGGGCTTCCAGAAATACGGAAGGGTCACTTTATGTACGAAAGAGTGTCTTTCTTTAACACTCAAGCATTTAGATCTTTCTTCTGGATTCCATTCCTATTTGAAGTGAAAACATTTATTGACTGGACTTTTACCAGAACATCGCTCAAAATATGGAAATGGTTCACATTCGAAACAATTTATTCTGAATTTTATCAAGCAAAAATAGCTCAAGAAAAGTGTAAAAATAGGAAAATTGGAAAACTCGAAAGTTGGTTTGAAAAGTTAACACTAGGAATTCCTGGAATCTTGTTTTGCCTTGGGCTTATTTTGGCTCCGCTTATTATATTCAGTTCCCTCAATCCAATAGCAGAGCTTAACTTGGTTAAAGGAGCAGGGATAAAACTTGATATTGAGATAGAAGAAGGAAAAACACTATATAATCTGTTCGCAACTACAGTAGCTAACGAGATCAGGAACTTGACTGAGGAAGAATTTGATTTGTTAAATTTCAGAAAGTACAAAGAACTTAGGATTTCAGATCATTCGCTTTACCAAAGAGTTGAAATGCTTCCTTACTCAGATAGAATTTGGAACCTAAGCCCTCCTGCTATTAGAAAGATGAAGGAGTATTTTGAAAAGGCAATGAAAACAAACTCCAGTGAGGCTGCCATTGCTCTAGAGTATAGCTTCAACAGAAAGTATCCTTCAGGACCAACAAAGTTATATTACAAGAAGCGTATAATGGACTTAGATAATTATCCTGAGATCTTTAAGAACTTCTATGAAGCATTAAATTCTACTCAATGAAAGTCTGTGTATATCAAGTTGGATAAATTTTATCCGAGTGTGATCCATTTGACGAATGAAGTTGAGCCAGAAATAATCCCGATCAAATTTAAGACAATTAACATTAAGATATTCTGAACCAACGATCCTCTGATCGTCGGTAGTACAGTTAAGTACTGGACCATGTCTATTGAAGATGATCTTGATATTGCAAGGTAAATTCATAGTTAATAGGTTATAGACGCAAATAAGGAACAAGAAAATAATTCTGAACCTAAATTATCGATTAACTTACCGTCAGATGTAATTGATGATGATGATGATGAAGACTTTAATGAAGGAAATAGTGAGAAAATGGGTATCTTTGATTATGAGCCAAGCAATAATCAGCAGATTATTGAGTCTGGTGCAAAGGATTCTGATTATGGCGTAAAATCCAATGAACATTCATTGATATCAAAGAGTGAGAATAAAGAAGAAATTGATGAAAACCAAAATGGAGAATCAAAAGATGATAATAAGAAAGATATGAAGCCTAAAGCAAAAGTCGATGAATCAGCCACAATTTCATCTGAATATGTTTCCCAAAAATCTCCAATTATCGCTGAAGCTCCATCTACAACCCACTCCTCAAACCCATCTCTCCCACTAAACACGACCCTCTCTTCCTTCTCCCCACCTCTAAACACCTCTATCTCCCCTCCTAACACCACTTCAGTCTCCTCTGAGATTCCTTCCAGCCCAAAACCCACTAACAGAAATATCAAAAAGCCTGTCAACCTTGACCAGACACTCTCTAGTTCCTCTCAGAGTCCTCTTCGTGATCTCCACCAAGCAGGTGAAGAGACCAACATTAGTGAAGGCCCCAAGATCATGAAGATCACTGAGACCAAAGTCACCCCTAAAGAAGACCTCATGAGGCTTAACCTCAACTACACTAAGAGTGAGGCCAAGGAGAAGGAGAAGACAGATATTGACCAAAAACAAAACCAGAGCAATAGCGACAGTGCATTGGGAGGCAAAGAACAAACAGAAGTTGAGCAAGTACAAGTTCAAGCGGGGAATGTTGATGAGAAAGATGATGTCATTCAAGAGAGAGTCAATGAGAATGCAGAGGAAGAAATAGAGGAGCAGACTAGGGAAGATGAGAGTGAGGATAGATATGAGCAGGAAAAAGCACCTTATGTTTTAGACCTAAATATACCAATGATTGATAAGGCACCCATATTCAACCCTTCTCAGATTATTGCTGGTGAGTCTGAGCTTAGGGAGAAAATTTTGAATAGACACAATGGAGATGAAACTAAGCAAAACCTGGCAGGTAAGTTTAGAGATCTTAGTTTACTTTAGATCATAAAGAAACTATAAGCCTTACTCACGCAGATCAAATTTCTAATGAGCCGGAACAGGCTGCTCTGGTGCCAACCCCATATGCACCAGAGGGGTTATCAGATTCCAAAGAAATGAGTGAGGGGAAATTTGGGGAAGAAGCTCACCAGAGCAAACAAGTGAAAGATGAGGCTGATAGTGCTAAACAAATGGGACTTGTAATTTATACCTTCAGTGACAAGATCACACCAGGACTACTCCAATACTCAGTGATCACATTCTATGTCTCTGTAGTCTTTGTTGCTAGTAGAGTTTTGAGAGGATATCTCTGGATTAACACTTCCAAAATTTATCTATCAAACCTTCCATACCCGGATGAACTATTGATTATCTGAGAAGGTGTGGTTATCTCCAGAATGCAGAAGGATATTTATCGAGAAGAAGAACTATACTTGGTGTTAATAGACTTAATCCGATCGCCTGAGATTCTTAAGACGATCACTCATCCTCATTTGAAGCCAAAGACAGATTAAATTGACCAGTGTTTTGTGTATAAATACTTGAATCCTATCAGCTTCTCTTTTAGAATTAACTGAGATCAACTTTCAATTTCTCATGGTGCTTGCGGGGTTTTGGGGTTTTGGGGTTTTGGGG